TGGGCACAACATATATATTAACACCAGTCAAAACAAGATTGTTCTTTGGACAATATAATCAATAACGCAGCATATATAATTATAAATGCACTATGCATTCTTTTTTTTAATATAGGAATTATACAAAATATCAGAATTCTGGCACTGGGGATTTAGCTCAGCGGTTCTGCCGCCTGCCTCACAAGTGCAAGGATTGGAGTTCGATCCCCAGTACAAAAAAAAAATATATAGATAGATAGATAGATATCTATATAGATATATAGATATCTATCTATATATATATAGATAGATATCTATATATATATACACATATATCAGAATTCTTATGTTTAAGTTTTTGATGACTCGGCATGAATTATTGGTATCAATGCAAATAATAAAAAAATCCACCATTCATAGTGCAATTTTCTTTCTTTTCTTTCTTTTTTTTTTTTTTTGGCCTCAAACTCCCAGAAATCCTCCTGCCTCAGCCTCCTCCTGAGTGCTGGGATTACAGGCGTGTACCACCACACCTGGCCATATAATACAATTTTTAAATAAATTGGCTCATGAATATAGTCACTTTGAAGAGTATGTGTAAGATCAACCCCTGAATAAGAAAAATGGAAATGTTCTAGTCTTACAACTCAGATGAAAGTTGTGTTTGAAAATCTGGGAATCTAACCCAGGGCCTAAATATATGGTAGGCAAGCATTCTTCCACTGAACTACACTTCAACCCAGTGAAAGAATTTGGGGTGGGGTGTACTGTGGATTAGAGGGACATTTTCTGTCACTGAGGTACCCCACCCCACCTTTTCTTTTTGTTGTGTTTTTTGTTTTGATTTTTGTTTGTTTTTTGAGACAGGGTGTCACTATATAACTCAAGCTGACCTCAAACTCATGGCAATCTTCCTGCTTCAGCCTCCCAAGTACCGGGACTATAGGAATATGCTACGGTACCTATTTAGTTTTGTTTTGTTTTCCCCCTGACACAGGGTCTCACTAAGTTGTCCAGGCTGGCCTCAAACTTGCAATCCTAGCCGGGCATGGTAGCACACACCTGTAATCCCAGCACTTGGGAGGCTGAGGCAGGAGGATCGCTGTGAGTTGGAGACCAGCCTGGTCTACATAGTGAGTTCCAGGTCAATTTCAATTACATAGTGAGACCCTGTCTCAAAAAAACCAAAAAAAAAAAAAAAAAAAAAAAAAAAAAAAAAAAACCTTGCAATCCTCCTGCCTCACCCTTCCAAGTAGCTGGTATTACAGGCATGTACCACCATAACTAACCCACTGAAATAAATTTGGCTAAGGATTTTGCTTAGTTTGATAATAAATCTGAATTTTTTGATGACATTGCCAATAATAAATTGTGAACCTGAAACTTTCTTTAAACTATTAAATTTTTTTTAAAAAGACAAGTTTGCCTAGGATTTGGCTCAGTGGTTCCACCAACTGCCTTGCAAGTACAAGGGCCTAAGTTCGATCCCTGGTACCAAAAATAAATAAATAAAAATTAATAAATAAAAGACAAGCTTGATACACCATGGTAAGACTGAATTGTCTTTCTCTGGGGCGGGCACCGTGGATCGAACTCTGGTCCTTGTGCTTGCAAGGCAGAGCACCAGAATCACTGAGCCAAATCCCCGGCCCCATCTTTCTACTCTCTTTCTCTAAACAGTATTATCAAACACAGAAAAATCAAACACTATGCAGCCAAAAAAAGTAAGAAAAAAAATTAGTATTTAAGTGTGACTAGCATTTAGTTAAACCACCATATCATTGGAACTTTTTGTGATGTTTTGATCCGTGTTGGGTTTTTTTTTAATTTGCAATTTATTTTTATATTACTAATTTGTGTGTTTGAAGACATCCTTTTCTCACCCCCCCTACCAACCCTGGTAATTGCCTAAGGGTTAGGTTCCACAAAAACTGGCTGACTGAAGCTCAGAGCATGCTCTTAAGTGTTTCTACAGATATCTGAGGTGTTGGAGCTGGTTACTCAGACCCTCCACCCAGAAGCTAAATATTGTCAGGTCCCCTAGGCTGATAAATGGGTACAAGTTAGAAAATCCTGTCTTTATACAGTCACTTTTGAGGCATTTTAGATTGCCAGTAACATTACCATCCCTGGACCAATCTTTGCTTCTGGAAGAACCCCCAACAATGAGGAGAAGCATGTTGATTGCCCTTTGGGCCTGTGACATGCCTATCTTTCTTCTGGTGAAGTGTTTTGAGAAATCAAGTCATGCCCATGTTCTTAATGAAATTAAATTCTTTACTGGCATTTAAAGAAAAATTATAGGCATAGTGGCGCAGGTCTGTAATCCCAGCACCACAGAATATCGAGGCAAGAAGATAGCAAGTTCAAGCAACTTAGCAAGATCCTGTCTCAAAAGAAAAAAGAGGGATATAGCTCAGTGTAAGGGCCCTGAGGTTCAATTCCCAGCACTACAAAAAAGAAAAAAGAGCCAGGTGTGGTGGTACACGTCTGAAAACACTCGACAGGCAGAGGCAGGAAGATCACCATGAATTAGGGGCCAGCCTGGCTTACACGGTGAGTGCAAGGTCAACCTGAACTACTTAATAAGACCCTATTTCAAAAAACAAAAACATAGGGAAAAAAAGTGCTTGCTTACAATAAAGTGTTTAGAAAATCAAGGTGATTCCAGCTCTTTGAAAACTGAGGGCAATTAACTGTTTGTACAAGTGTCATCTAGTGACAGAAGGGTAAGCTCAGCTCACCAAAATCTTGTCAAAAACTGAAAAGTGAAACACTGCTGTTTTTCTCCTCCCTTTGGGGAAAGTTGTGCTAAAATACTGTGGTTTATTCATTCCACCGTGACATTTAGTCACAGTCATCCCCGAATCTTATAAGAAAATAATGAAACAGCAGATCAAAGATGAAAGTACAAGTAAAAAAAGCAAGTAAGAGATAGGGTCTATTTAACCCCTGATGGCCCATCTACAAGAGTTATGCTTTTTTTAAACAAAACATTTATTGTTATATTTTAGATGTGCATCATAACAATGAATTTGTACCTGTACATGATATATCTTGCATTTTACCCCCATACCCACTTTGACCCCTTTTTCCCTCCTTCCTTATAAACAAAAGCTTTGTTTCCATTTTTCCTTCTATTTTTCTTCTTGTTCCTTCCTTTTCCCTTCCTCTTCCCTCTCCTTTGTTCCCCTTCTCATTTGAACATTTTCTTCGCATTTCCCAAATCTATTATAAATTTTAGTCCTTATTTCCACTTTCAGTTTCTCACACCAGAGAAACAATGCAGTACTTACACACGAGTGTCCGACTTATTTCACTTAAATGTATGGTCTCAAGGTGTATCATTGAGCTATAAATGTCTCATGCCACTGTTAACATGGGTATGCACACATTGCTGTGGTATGATGCTTTTAATTATTTCAGGAAGACACCATGGAGGGGAATAGCTAGGTCAAATGAAAACTCTAGTTTTAGTACTTTGAGAAATCTCCACAGATTTCCACAGTGGTTTCACCAGTCTGCACTCCCACCAACAGTGTAGAAGGGTTCCTTTTCCCCCACAGCCCCAGCAGCATTTGTTGTTGATTTCTTGATAACAGTTGTTCTTTCTAGAGTGAGATGGAATCTCAGCATTGTTTTAATTTGCATCTCTCAAATGATCAGCGATGCTGAACTTTTTTTCATGCATTTGTTGTTGCTACTTCATTTGAGAGGTGTCTTCATTTCAGATGCCCATTTTGGATTGGGTCTTTAAATGTGAGAGAGTCTGATTTTTTTCAGTTCTTTATATATTCTAGATAGTAGTCCTTCCTTTGAGGAACAGCTGGCAAATTTTTTTCCCCACACTATGCATTGTCTCTTCAAGTCATGCTTTAGTCCCTTGTAAATATAGCAAATCGCTTGCCTTATGTAGCAAAAGGTCTATGTAAATGGGCTGGTCACGTGGTGGAGGGGTCAGCACAACTCGCCCCACCCCTTGCTGATCCCTGCTGATGCCAGACCATGCTGGCTTCTAATTTGAACATGCTACCTTAGGCTGACTCCTCAGTTTCTCTCCTTACCAGTTCCCCCCAATTTCCGGGACGGAAATTGCCATACTTCCATTCAGTTCAGCTTCTCTCTCTCTCTCTTCCATTTTAATTTTCTCCAAGCAGACTTGGCTTTAGTCATTTGTTTGTATCCTCTGTTTTCATCTAACAAATACTGGCCCAGCATCTTTGTGCCCAGCATTACGGTAAGCAAAGAAAATTACAGGCTGAGAATGTTGCCAGCACTGTCTGGAGCCGAACTGCCTGCATTTAGATCCTATTGCTATCATCTCTGTGCCACTTTGGGCAACTTACTAACTTGGTTATGTTCCCCAAGGAATTCATTATATAAAAAGAATCTTAATTATGGTCCTTTCCTTACCGGATTAGTGTAAGGATTAAGTAAATTAATATATATAAGGGGCTTACAAGGGTGCCTGTCAGCACTCTTCGAGTGTAAGCTCTCAGGGCATAGTCCTTCCTCTCAAGAACAGTCTGCAGTTGGCATGTCCACCTGTCCCTCTCTGGCAAGCAGGGCCATCTCAAGTCCTCTAGCGCAACAAGTGATCCACACTTGAATCAGGTGCAAGTTCCTGTGTCCTTGATTTACTAGATGACCACAAAAAAGTCATTTCTCTTCTCCACGTCTCATTTTAAGCATTCAGGGAAGGGTGAGCCCTAAATCGATTTTCAAGCTACTTGTTCTGGTCAAGCGGCCCGTTTCAAACCAAGAGTGGGCAAGCCTCTGAACTTCTCAGCGTTTGCCTCCTCCCCTTGAGCGGGGAATGATATCGCTAACCCCCTCCTATAGTGGTGGTCAGAGTTCAACAGGATAACGCAGGCCAGGCCGTCTAGCATAGCGTCAGGTACACAGCAGCGGTTCAGAAACAGCTTTCCGCACCACCCGCCACACTACAGTCAGCGACCGCCCTTGCTACTCGGCGCAGGCGCGCTGGCGCCGCGACCGCCTCAGGTCCCCGGCTTCCGGTTCCGCCCGGACCCAGAGGCCGAATTGAGGCTAATGGCGGCGTGCGCGGAACTGGCCGGAGAGGGCGATGAGGAGGCCAGGAAAGAGGAGGAACCGCGAGTTCTGGAACCTGGGGCTGCCCCGTTTGGAAATTTTCCTCATTATTCCCGTTTCCACCCTCCGGAACAACGACTCCGCCTCCTGCCCCCGGAGCTCCTTCGACGGCTCTTTCCTCCCAAGGGCCCTGAGACAAGGCCGATCTTGGGGCTCGACGTGGGGTGTAACTCCGGGGTGAGTGGAGGGAGAGGGATCCGAACCCATGAACCTAGAGGTGGGCCGCTCCCACGCCCGCTGTGGTTCTGGCCCAGGCGTGAAATAACACCATTAAAAGTTACCACAAATGGGCTTAAAGCATACTAATGGCCGATTCTGCGCTCTTACGGTACCAGTCTACATGGGTCTCTCACTATCATCTTCATTAGGAATCTTGAGGAAGAATCCTGGACTGTGTTCCAAGCTTCCGCCCTCTAGACCAGACCCCAGATGAGAAGGGCCACTGTATCTGTATTTCCAGCACTTTGGTGACCTGTTGGCAAATGGGCCTCTAGGACCCACATTTGGGATCGTAAAGTTAGGGTTGGTTGGTTTTACTGGGAGAGATGAGACAGGGGTGACAGAATCACGCCTGGAATGAAGACTTATGTGTGCCTTTCATATGCAAGTCCAGGATGAATCCTGGGCCAAGTGCACGTGTATTTAAAAAGCAGTGCGCTGACAGGACAACAGAGACCAGTGGAGATGAATGAGGAAGTAAACATAGCATTCTGCTGGAGGGAGAAGCCACTCTTTTTACTACAAAGTATTTTTTAGGCATATAATGATTGTTAGTAAACTACATGCAAAATAAGAAAATGTCTCTCACCTATTTGTAGCCACAGGATTTCTTAAGGGAGAACGTAGTCCTAACCTATGATTGCAAATACTTCAAAAAGTTTTGCCCTCATTAGCCCAGGCCTGGTGGCACTTGCCTGTAATTCCAGAATTCTGAGTGGCTGACCCAGGAGTGATCACACTTTCCAGCTCAGTCTGAGCAATTTCGTGACTTAAAGAGACCCTGTCTCAAAAAACAAAAGCAAAATAAAACAAAAAGCTGGGATATATCTCAATACAGAGACCTTGGGTTCAATCTCCAGTAGCACACACACACACACACACACACACACACACACACTCACACACATACACCTAAAGCACTCTCGCTTCATATCCTCATCACTCCAGAGTAAGAGTTGAAGGGAGTGTGAAGACTTTTAGTGTGTTGATGGCCTTTAGCAGAAGAGACTTTGGTGGAGGATTGAAGTCCTTGAGGATCACAGCTAATAGGGGGAAGAAAACATAGCATACAGTTTAACGACTGGAATTACCAGATGAGTGGGTGTCCAGGAGTCCCCTGCAAACATTTCTTCACCTTGATGACAAAGGAAATCAGTAGGACAAAGCAATGGAAAAGCTTTTGGTGGGGGAAGGAGAAGAGGGTACTGGAGATTGAACTCCAGGGTCTTCACACTGAGCTACATCCCAGCCCCTTTTTACTTTTTATTTTGGGGCAGGGTCTTACTAAGTTGCCCAGCCTGGGCTCAAATGTGGAATCCTCTTGCCTCAGCCTCCCAGAGTGCTGGGATTACAGGCATGTACCACCATTCCTGAGTGCAGCCGCACATTCTAAGAAACTTCCTATTTTTGCACTTGGAAAAAAATTATATTTGATGAAGAAAAAAAATTCAAAATACAAGCATATATAGTTGGTCTTCCATATCCTAGGGTTCTTCATCTGTGGATTCAACAGACTATGGGTTGAAAGTGAAAAAAATTGTGACTGTATTGAACATGTATCAGCTTTTTTCTTGTCACTAGTCCCTAAACAATACAATCAAGGGCCGGGGATTTAGCTCAGTGGTGCTGCCACCTGCCTTGCAAGCACAAGGACCCAAGTTTGATCCCTGGTACAAAAAAAAAATACAGTCAAAACTATTTATGTAGCATTTACATGGAAGTGGGTATTATAAGTAATCTAGAGATATTATTAGATACATTAGAAAGTATATTAGATATATATGGGTTATTTGCAAATACTGCACCATTTTATTTAAAGGACTTGAGCATGCTTGGGTTTTGTTATTCTTAGGAGTCCTGAAACCAGTTCCTCATGGATAACAAGGGATGATTAGTAAAAAATTAAGTCTCTATTCCCAATCCTAAATCCTCCTTTTGCTCCAGTGTGACACCAACATTTATAATTGCTTAGGTTTCCATCCTTTGTATACCCAGCACTTGGGTTTATGTAAGCATTGTCCTTCTGTTAGTTTTACAAATAGCACACCATTTTGGACCTTCTCATTTCACTGGAGAACATTTGTGTCACTTTTATTTTTTTATGGTGCTAGGGATTGAACCCAAATTCTTGAGCATGTTAGCCATACTTAGTGCAACTGAGCTCTACCCCAGCCCTATGACTTGTTTTAAACAGCTTTATAATATTATATTGTATAGGTGTGCTGTATTTTGTTTTTGTTTTATTTTTTGAGACAGTGTTTTGCTATATAATCCAGGCTAGCCTAATATTTTCATCAGTTTTGATGCCTCAGCCTCCCCAGTGCTGGGATTACAGAAGTGTGCAACCATGCCTGATTGATATACTATAATTTATAGGTGCCTTTTTTTTAATCTATAAAAACTCTTAGGCCCGGCAAATCAGGATCTTAGCAAAATGAGTTCTCAAATCTGTCTTAAACTTCCAGGAGACTCCAGGATTAGGAAATTTAGGGTGTCAAGAATGAATAGATGTGGTAGACGAGGGATTTTGTGATGAAATGATTAGTCAAATGTGGAACCACAGCCAAAATCAGAGAGCAGCAGGAAAACAAATAAATGGAGAGGTAGAGAAAAAATTAAGCTGCATAGTAATGGGGCCTTGCTACTCAGTGTGATTTTTTTTTTTAACTACAAAATTGTCATGAATTGGCATATCATCAGTAATACAGTCTCAACCCTTACCACCATCTACTAAATGAGCATCTGTACTAAAGATGATCCCATTGCTACTCAGTGTGATTTTTTTTTTTAACTACAAAATTGTCATGAATTGGCATATCATCAGTAATACAGTCTCAACCCTTACCACCATCTACTAAATGAGCATCTGTACTAAAGATGATCCCAGGCTGGGGATTTAGCTCAGTGGTTCCACCACCTGCCTTGCAAGTGCAAGGACCTGAGTTCAATCCCTGGTACCAAATAAAAAAAGATGATCCCTAGGGGATTTATACACCCAATTTGAGAAGCTTGGTATAGAGAAAAGAATGTCATGTCTTTCTGTGTACTGACCATGTGGCATTGTACAAGTGAGTCACTTGCCTCTGAATCAGGTTTTTTTGGTACCAGGGATAGAATTTGGGACCTTGTGCTTACAAGACGGGTGGCAGCACCATTGAGCTAAATCCCCAGCCTTGAGTCAGTTTTTAAATATAGTTGTTTTAACTATTCCACACATACAAAAAAATACATAAGCATATGTCTGTAGTTTATGACAATTATTATAAAGCAAATACTTTTATGAACTCTGCCAGATCAAGAATAAAACACTTGTCTGTACTCCAGTAGCTTCTCATATACCTTCTCCTGTTCATAGCACCCCTTCTTCATCCAGAGGTAAAAACTAGCCTTAATGTTTTGTGCCTTTGGGGCGGGTATTTTTTGAGACAGGGTCTCACTATGTAGTTCAGACTAACCTGGAGCTCACTGTGTAGCCCAGGCTATTCTCGAACTCACAGTGATCCTCCTTCCTCAGCCTCCCGAGTGCTGGGATTACAGACATGCGCCACCATGCCTGGCATTCCTGCCCTTTTTTTTTTTTTTTAATAGTTTACTGTTTTTCTATCCTTAATGTTTAATTTTACCTATTGTAGACTTCATTTAAGTGGAAGCTTGCCATATATTTTCTATTGTAGCATGCTTTATTTAACCAGCAATATATGTTTGTGAAAATAATCCATGTTGTTGCACTGAATTCTCCCCCCTCCTCTCTTTGAGACAGGGTCTCGCTATATATAGTTCAGGCTGGCCTTGAACTCACTATCTAGCCCAGGCTGGCCTCCAGGTGATCCTCCTGCCTCAGCCTCCTGGATGCTGGGATTACAGAGTTAGTTTTAATGGTCATAGGAATCAAAGAAAAAGGAGGTGGTCACAGTTAAGAATCAAAAGGATGCTAAGATGATAAAAAATCATAGATCATTGTCACCGCCTACCTCGAAAGAGCAATGGCCCAAGTTTGATCCTGGGTACCAAAAATAAGAAGAAAAAACAAAAAATCATAGATCACTGGATTTGTCTAGAATGGTGTAAAATACTATAATAGTACATAAGATCCTGAGATAATTGACAATGTGAAATAGGAAGAAAAGAGCTAAAGGTGTAGGGAAAGTGGGAAGGGTAGGGGAAAGGTAATAAGGGAAAAGAAAAAAATATGAGAAAATGAAACAATGGAAATAAAGTATTTGTAAATGGGGAGGGGAGAAGGGGGTGAAGGGAGGACAGGGATAAGGGGAAAAAATGAGAACCAAGACCTGTCGTGTAGAGGTACAAGATCCCAACAATGAATGTAACTGTACTGTATACCTAAAATGTACCAATAAACTAAAAAAAAATAATAAAGAGAATCATAATGAAGTGAAGTAAAAAAAAAGAAGTTCAGTAGTGACTTATTAGTGATAGTTATAGAAGTGCAGTAAGTGTCAGAAGAAGTTAGTATAATAGAAGAAAGATAGTGAAATTGAAAGCCATAGGATGAAGGCTGATTGGAAACTTTTTGGAATCCAGACTTCTCCGACTACAGGCTAAGAAACAGATTTTCATAAGATGGTGTAAAATTCCTCACTTATCTGTTGAGGGACACTGATTATGCTTCTAGATCCCTTGAGTCTGAGGTACTCAGAAAAAGATAATTACTAGCCTAATACACTGGGAAATGCTTGAGGTTTCTTTGCTGAGTCAGGAAAATGTAGGGAAGATGCATTATAGCCTGTGGTCCCTGGAGGGCGCTGAAATTCTGTTCCTGAAAAACTACAATTCCCTTGGCTTACAGTTTAGGAGTTTCACATTCCATAAAGGCCAAGGTTAAGTGGCAGGCTCAGAGGATGTGAGATCACTTGGTTGAGAGCTGCAATGACAAAGCTCTTTTGGATTCCTCTAGGATCTGAGTGTGGCTCTATACAAACACTTCCTTTCCCTACATGATGGGGAGAGCTCAGATGCCTCCAAAGAACTCCATTTCCTTTGCTGTGACATTGATCCAGTCCTGGTGGAACGAGCGAAAAAAGAATGTCCTTTTCCTGATGCCTTGACCTTTATCACTTTGGACTTCATGAATCAAAGGACCCGGAAGATTCTCTTGAGCTCTTTCTTAAACCAATTTGAATGTTCAGTTTTTGACATTGGCTTCTGCATGTCGATAACTATGTGGATTCATCTGAATCATGGGGACCAAGGCCTGTGGGAATTCTTAGCCCATCTTTCCTCTCTCTGCCACTACCTCCTTGTGGAGCCTCAGCCTTGGAAATGTTACCGGGCAGCTGCAAGGCGTCTCCGAAAGCTGGGACTCCATGATTTTGACCACTTCCGCTCACTCACCATCCGAGGTGACATGTCCAATCAAATTGTACAGATCTTGACCCAGGACCACGGCATGGAATTAGTGTGCTGCTTTGGCAATACTAGTTGGGACCGAAGCCTTCTGCTCTTCAGGGCAAAACATACCATGGAGACTTATCCAATCCCTGAATCACTGATAGAAGAAGAAAAAAAGAAACAGATTAAGATTCTGGAGGCAATGAGATGACAGGGCAGGAAAACCAGGAAAGAGAAATTAAAATGGTTTTACACTGAGAATTACTTTCACTATCTTGCAACAGTCAGACAGCTTCAAAACATTACAGAAGCTTTTGACAAAAAATATCCACGGCATGCAACAGAAAGAATCTATACTTTGTCCCATTGTTTGAGTCAACCCCTGAGGAGGATGAATTGTTTTGTGGTGCTGGGGATTAGAACCCACGACCTTGTGCAAGCTAAACAAATGCTTTACTGTTAAGCCACATCTCCAGCCTTTCAGAGTTATTTATTTTTGTTTTTGTTTTTTGAGACGAGGTCTCGCTTTGTAGTGCAGGCTGGCCTCAAACTCATGGCCATCCTCCTGCCTCAGCCTCCCAAGTGCTGTGATTACATGTGTGCATCACCACACCTGGCCCTTTAAGGGATATTATAAAGGTGAAGCTAGCCTTAGAATGTGTCAGTTCTCTAGGCTCCTTAAATCTGATCTTATTTCCCCAGGTGTTTTCTGGACTTTTGGGGCCTGCCTTTTGGAAAAAACCTCACAGTGCAGTCTAAAATGGAGAGTCACAGACGAGGCTAAAGGAAGTGGTTACTAGAGCGTGTCAAGTCTCTAACATAACCAGGCTGGGCATAGCACTGAGAAATACTAGAAAAGATGTATTAAGTAGCATTTAAAAGATGTTTAAAAGCTTTAAATTATGAACCCAGGGTGGTGATTCAGGTCTGCAGTAAGGCTTAGGGATCTATTTTGTTGCATTCTTTTATTGTGGTAAAAGATACATAACAAAAATT